ATGGCAAGGAAGCGAAATGTTGTCGAAAACCTTGTGATTTCGGCAAAGCCTCCAAGTCTGTGGGAAACTATCCCGCCGGCACGCGTTAGCGACAACCGTCGCCGGTGGCACTAGCCGCTTACTTTACATCCATGATGTAATGAGCCAGACTAGATATCTAGTCGACACAGGCGCCGAAGTCAGTGCCCTTCCTGATACGGCAGCAGATCGACAGAAGGATCCTAACTTCAACCTACAGGCTGCAAATGGAAAACCAATTGCAACCTATGGTCGGAAATACGTCTATCTGAACGTAGGTTTACGCAAACCTATTCAGTGGATTTTCCTAATCGCTGACGTCACAATGCCCATCATTGGCACGGACCTACTTAATCATCATGATTTGCTCGTAGACGTCCGCCGTAAACGACTAATTGACAACACTACTAGTTTGTCTATCAAAGGCATAACTTACGTAGGCCCCAGCTTATCAATCGTTAAGGTGAAAGCAATCCTCGATCCAACTTTTCAACCAATTGTTGACAAATATCCGGAACTCAATTGCCCATCTAACGATCGCCCGTGTATAACCAGCAATGTTATGCACCACATCATAACCTCAGGACAGCCCGTGACATCTAAAGCACGACGACTGGCCCCTGACAAACTGAGAATTGCCAGAAACGAATTCGATCACATGCTCACCCTTGGCATCATTCGGCCATCGAATAGTCCATGGGCATCCCCATTGCATATGGTACCGAAAAAGGATAGTAACGATTGGCGACCCACTGGTGATTACCGGCGAGTGAACGCCAAAACAACCCCTGATTGCTACCCTTTGCCTCACATACACGACTTGACGGCAACGTTATCTGGAGCATCTATATTCTCCAAAATCGACTTGGTTAAAGCATATAACCAAATCCCGATGGCAACGGAAGATATTCCGAAAACGGCTATCATCACGCCTTTCGGACTTTTTGAATTCCTACGTATGCCATTCGGCCTCCGGAATGCAGCACAAACATTCCAACGCTTCATCGATGAAGTATTTCGCGGTCTCGACTTTGTATACGCATACTTAGACGACTGCCTCATTGCCAGTCCAAATAAGGAAACTCACCTTAGACACTTGGACTTGGCATTTGAAAGGTTACGCCAACATGGTGTTACCATCAATATACAGAAGTGTCAAATAGGCGTTGACTCACTCGATTTTCTGGGTCACACTATTGACTGACAGGGCATTCGCCCACTGGCTACTTCGGTCGATCACTCCAAGAAAACGCGTTCTGGACGTCACGTTAGATTCCCAGAATACCTTCACACCTATTTCACATAACTGAGTGACACATCAATTTTTTTAATGTTGCATCATTTAACACAAGTAAATGATATTTTTCCTATAACCGTACATAAAATTAAATTAGATGTATATATTTTTTCCCGATATTTTGAACTTTACATTATTTTACTGTATAGTAGATGCACGTCAATTTTTTTGGAAAAAAACGCTTATTTGGTACATTTTCCTTGACAAGGTTCTCAGCATTCTTGTTTTCTTTTCCAGGTGCAACGGGCACTGGACAGGAAACAAACGAAGCACGGGATCCAACGAACAACATCGAGGAAGCTATGTACAGACACCCTATTAGCATAGGCAGACAGACCAGCAGGCCCTCCATCAAGCCGCTCGGAAGATTTTTTCACCCATCAGGGAACCATCGAGATTTTTTACTTCCGGCTGGTCATGTCTTAGGGTCCTCACAAACCCACTAGGGGGGAGTGAGCTGTAGCGGTAAATAATTCCCCAAAATCATTAACCACAGCAATCATCACTCAACATTGGATGCTGACCATCACTGTTTAAGTCGACTTGTTTAGCTGAAGGCTTACGGTCAAGCATCCCCGCCATTTGGTACTCAGTCGTGTCACGTGCGTGCACGATTCCTAGCTAGCTAAGCATTCATCTCTACTCGCAATTTTGTCCCGAAATATAATACGTACTTTGGACGACAAAATCTGGTCTTTTGCTTTATCTTTGGTACTCGAAGAACGAACACTATAGAAGTTGTTGATATAAGATCTTGCGTTAGTATAATCCGTACAACTCGCGAACGTCGATACCCGCAGCCTCTAAACGTGCGAACTTCCACTTTGCAGAATTAAATGTATAGGCCAAGATATTAACCCCATTGCTACATGCTGCAGTCCTGAATGCAATGCAGACGGCTGCTTAGTAGAGAGGCTAGACTCATGGACGTCTAAATGTCGGAATCTCGTAGTTGGCAACTTCAGCGTCCCAACAGTTAAGCGGATGACTCCGTCTTTAGACAACTACTCTGACTATAAATTCCTGGAATATAGCATTTCGTTAGCCCTAGTCCAACATGTCATTAAGCCTACGTGTTATGACTCACAGGTCTCCTCCTCAACTCTGGACCTGGTATTCTCCTATGATGAGGATATGGACTTTATACAACATATTCCTCCCTTGGGAAGAAGCGGTCACGCTGTCCTCACTTTCAATTTCACGGCAGCAGTACCATGGGCAAAAACCCCAGCTCGACCAAACGTTTGGAAAGCTGATATAAGTGCGATAGTCTCAGCAGCCAACTCAGTATACTGGTAGATAAACCCAGAGTCCTCAGTAGAAGCCGAATGGAGCTAGTTTAAACAGCTTTACACAGGAGTCGTCACTCCCCGTGGGATCAGCTCTGGCCGCCTCAGAGGAACACAGGATAGACTCCGTTGACGTCGATGAAGAAATCGTGCTCAACTGCCTAAAGAAACTGGTTGCAGGGAAATCAGTGGTTCCTGATAATCCACATCCAAGGCTTCTCAAGGAGCTATCAGCTCACATAGCCGGCCCATTACCCACGATCTTCAAGCTATCTCTCCTAAATGGAGTGTTACTGCATGACTGGAAAGACGCCATCCGCAAAGGAGGATCAAGACAAAGCCCTTCAAATTACAGGCCTATTAGTCTCACCAGCACTTTAATCGGGACACTGGAAAGAATCATCAAGAAAAGTATCTTGGCATATCTGGAAAACAACAATATGTCATGCAGAGCACAGCATGGCTCTTGAGGAAACCTCTCATACCTGTCAAATCTTCTCATCGCAGGAGAAAGCTGAATGAAATCAAGGGGCTATAAAAGACCCACTGATGTCGTCTTCATAGACTTCAGCAAAGCCTTCGATAAAGTTTCTCACAAGAGACTACTCATGAAGTTGGAAAGCCTTGGTATCAAGGGCTGGTTACTTAAGTGGCTTAGGGAATTCCTCATAGATAGGAGACAAAGGGTTAGGATCAACTCGAAACTCTCCTCATGAACAGCGGTGCGTAGCAGAGTGCCACAAGGCACAGTACTCGGACCTCTTCTATTTATTTTGTATATCAGTGATTTATCTCTGCTCACCGATTCCCTATGGTCCTATACTCAGATGACTTAAAAATCTGAAGAGAGCTGAAGGGTGACAATGATACGCTCATGCTGCAAGAAGACCTGAACAAATTTTTAGAGTGTTCCAGAGAATTGATGCTCCCTATCAATGTAGCAAAATGTATACCATGCGCATTGGAGACGTAAGCATCAGTTCCTACGAACTACAGAGAATAACACTCCCATCAGTCCAGACTCATTTGGATTTAGGTGTCATAGTAAGTCACGACTTAAAAACCATAGCACACTGTCGCGCGGTGGCTGCACATAGTTTCAGATCCTTTAGGGTAACTTTCAGAGCCTTTAATGGAATCATCATAGAAATGTTTACCTCCTTCTATACATCTCTGGTGAGGCCAAGACTGGGAATCTGTATACAGGCAGCCAGTCCTTGTCATAAAGGGAACTCGGATATTCTAGAAAGGGTTCGAAGGGAGGCAGCACGTATGATTCTCGGCATGACTAACTTATCATACGACGAAAGACTGGACAATTTAAATCTCTTCTCTCTATCATACCGTGGGTAGAGAGGAGATTTAATTACAATGTCTGAAATTTTAAATGGTGACTACGGGCTTGATCTATTATCTCTTTTCCTTCCCACATGGTCGGAACACCTTAGAGGACATAGCAGGAGAGTTCAAAATCATGAAGAAACCATACTGCTGTTGAGTATTGGTTCTCACATCGAGCCATAAACTACTGGAACCGACTCCCAGAAGAAGTGATGTCTGCATCCTCACCTGATTCGTTCAAGAAGGGTTCGGACAAGCACAGAAGTTTACTAGAAGAGAATTAACACAGGCTTCAAGCCTTCTATCCTCAACCAATAAATATGAATTTGAAATCATTCCTTGAGCAACTGTCCAAAGAGAAAGACTTCTCCGATTGCTTGACTATATTGGTCAGCAACTACTATAATCCCTAAATTCATGGATACCATAGACCGTTTAGTGGCATAAAAGCATGTAGTTATGAATATCCAGTCAAATAATTATTAGGTGTTTAGGGTTTAATGATTTCAATTTCAGTATGCCTGTAATTATCAGTTTACCTATATTTCACCGGACAAGAACGAGTCAGCACAACGATGACAGGTAACTATCTAGAGAGAGTTTGTGCAAATAATCGAATGTAAAATGACGGAATTCCAGTTAGTAAGCCTATCTAACTGAAACCTACAACTTAATGTGTCCTTAAAACTATGAGTATTATGACGACATCCTGAACAATCTGATTCTATAGACTGCTGATATTTAGGGATGATTTATTTATATTGGTGTGTACCACTCTTTGTCAATCTACTATACGGTTACATGCCAAATATATGTACTGAACTATGGTATATATATATATATATAATATATATGTACTGACTATAGTATTCGACTGATGGTTGCCAGAAATGAAATCTAGGATGTACATCTCGTCCCGCCTGGGACACGTCAGATGGATAGATACCGCCAAGATAATCTCGTAGCATTATCGAAGCGTCTATGCTAGGTGTTGATATGCCGACAGAAACCAAACGTTAGAGTCTAGTAAAATTAGCCAATAGGAAATCTAAAAGTCATGATGAATGAAACTCTATTTTTTAAGAAGTTGTTCAATAAATAATTATAGGAATGTCAACGATTTGTTGAGGTTTAAATAGTGAACAGTATACTTCTGGAAATGCATGAAGTATTTACCAAGACACAATAATTTAATTGTACATAATTTTCAACAGTCATTAATCATTGAATGATGAATAAAGAACTTAATGATAAGAGATTAATAATGTCAACAGAAAAGAAAGATATTTTTCAAGACTGATCATGCAACAAATTTATTTAAGTTTTGGAATTCCAGCATTGACATCACTTTCAATACCACATTCATTTCTTCCACGAATAATCTTAAAGTAACCATTATCACCCCAATCGCTATTCCATGAATTAGCTATCAACCAATACGGTACACCGTTCTCTTCACCCCAACCAAGTAAGCGGACAGCATGTCCACCGAGTAAACCACCACTTACATGCTGATAAACGCCAGACTTATAATTTGGAAAATCAGCATACACTTCAAAATCAACTTCCACTGGTCCATGATCCATAACTTCTTTCATAATAGCTTCTTGGTTGGAATGAACACGATAAACCGTTTTGCCTGAGAAAAGAGAAGATTTAAACATTTAGAGTTACTGTTGATTAGATTTCTTACGCATTCTCTAAACATTAGTGATTAGGGAGACTAGCTAGCAAATTAGAAGCTGTTGTTTTGGAATCTGTAGCTTTCATCCCAGATTAGAACATTATCCATGCACATTAGACTAGTAGGAGAAACGAAAACTAACTGAACTAATTGAAATAACTCCTTTCCTGTAATTCAATTCAGTTGTAATTGAGGCGCGATAACATGACTTCAAAGATGATATGGTAATTGTGGATAGATAGTGGTGTATTATCCATTCACAAAATAATCCGTCAATGTCCTCACTAACTAAAAGATTCGGTTAGTGACTGAATCTCGCAGTTGAGGCAGTAGAATAACAGGCCAGTAACTAGGAAGTCAGGCGTTCACATACTGGTACAAACCATGTCTACGTTACAACTCAGGTCATTATATCTCTTTATTTCTGTGTTATCTGTAGGGCCTGCGAACGCTTATTTATTTTTGAGAATCGTCATCATCATCACTATAATGACTCACTGGGAAATTACAGATTCATTCACTGGATCATGAGTAATACCTAATGTTTAAGGGATTATTCTACTGCCAAACTTCCTTTGATTTGATTAAGGTTTGGTCCTGAAACCTTTCGAAAGTGCAGTGCCGACACCAATAGACCAATCCAAAAATTTACCACAGAGATATGCATCCAAATAGTATATTCAGTCTTTGTCTTTGACATGGTCATCATAACCAGCCTATTTTCTAAACATCATAATGATTACTGAGGCCACAGGCTTCATATGGATTGCATCCAATTATATAACATCAGTTCAGAGTGCACCGCAATGGAAAGTCGCCTAGTTTGATAACCACATTACAAACTTCAGCTAGCAGGAACGCCAAGGACTAAACATATAACATTGGTTACCCCTCTTCCCAGTGAACAATCAGTGTGTCCATTACTGTCCTACAAGAAGCCAATCGCGAGCCCGAACAGATCAGCAGAAGTGTCTTCAACTTCAGCCGTAAAAAATAGGCTTAGATGAATATTCAAGTTTTCACGTCTACAATGTCAGTCATCCGGGGACTGGTGAGTATTCATGTCAGATACGAAATAAATGATCTGTGGAATTTAGTCTTTACACAGTGTGCTAATCACCGTAAAATTAAGATAAGTAAGACAGACAGAATCCTGATCTGAAGTAGTCGAGACTTTTAAATTTCAAAAATAAAATTAAGTTAGGATATAATCTGTTCATCAGTAGCATTCCAGATAATCTTCAGAACAGTAATAACAGAAGTTATTAACAATTAACTTACCATACCTGAGTTATTTTGGTTGACAGTGACTAGCAGCTGAATCCAGGATGCACATTTCGCCCCATATATGACTCACCAACTGGATGTACGTGCATTTTCACTGAATGTAGGTATCCCCACTGATACTCGAACTCTGCACCTAACGTTTCAACACTCCTGGATTCTACTGCTAGCCACCATCAATCAAAATAACTTTACGTTAGTCCTTAGACGTCGTTGAAGAGTTCTTACGAGAAGCCAATATATCAACAGAGAATAAGCATTTCGGTCCAACATAATCAAACCACGGGAAGTGCGAATTGACCTAAAAACAAATAACTTACCATACCATTTATCCTTATTATAAGGTATATTATATCCTGGTTGACATGTTGTTTTACATTTCGGTGTTTCAACATCACCTTCACATGATGGTCTTGGACCAACAACATGATGTTCACAGGGTGGAAATTCATACGGTTGACAACCATCTGTTGTATTGTATAAATCACCAGTTACTATGCCTGAACGTTTCCAATATGACCAAGCTGAATGCGGGAACCCCCCATTACAACCCATACCACAACTGGAACAACAAGCTACTAAATTTTCTGCACTTAAAAATGGTTTATGCAGTCCTTTTGATTCAATGCAAATACGATCCGACATAGCTTCAACTGCACCGAAAGCCTAATTATGAGAAATCAATAAAAAGAGTATGTGAGAATTCCAAAATGGAACAGTTTTAAAAATTTGGTTCTTTTATACCTGGTATTGCTTTGAAAAACATGTGTGAAACTCGAACAAGGCAAGTGGAACAAATGGCTTCATCACCACCCTGTTCTCTTCAGTGTTTTTTAGCTAGCTGCATGATTACCGGTGTTTTTTCATCTACTCCTCAGGTAACCTAAACTGTTTCACCTTACGATACCGAACTTGTCGTTCACCATTTGGCTTCCACTTGAAGGCCTTAGGGTATGATTTAACTCGTCAATCTCCTCAGCGTGTGTTCAACCGATCCCCATTTTATTCTTCATATTTGTTGGTCGATAAGCTTTTGGAGGCTTCGTCGCCAGAGTTCCTTGCTCCCAATTCTTTCTGGACATCTAGTCAACAGTATCCATCTAAGATAGCTGTTGATGAAATTTCGCAGTAGCCTCTTGGAAATGTTTATCATGACGCCTACACCACGTCTCTGAACCTTATAGATACACTGACTTGACATTAGAGTTGAAAGTCAGAATCTTGTTCTGTATTCTAGGTGCAACAAGCATCCATATCAGATCCAGAAAGATGCGTCTTGCTCTCTCGATCCTGGTTGGCTTTTCTATCCTCATATTTTGAGCTTGCTGTTGAAACAAAGCTGCTTAGACAAGTGGAAGACAAGTGAGTTCCTTCAAATTTATCCCGCTGATTGCTATTGTTGCTTGTTGTTGTTGGTGGTTGGTTATCTTCACTACAACCGTCTTTTTTATGTCCACCTGAAGTCCTATCTTCCCTGCCTCCTCTGTCAACATGGTGGTTTTCGCCTTTAGACCTGCGAGTTTATGTGACTCTCGATATAAATCATCCGCGAAGTCCAGATATCCTAGACTCTTCTTATCCGTCCAACGTATGCCCGTGTTGTTGCTTCCCATGGTGTTTTGCATTGTAAAGTCCACCGAAATCAAGAATGTCATTGGTAATAGCAGGCAGCCTTAGAAATAAGAATTGTTGACGAGTTTCTTTTTCGTTCTTTTCGTCCCGAGAGTGACATATATTCCTCCAAGTTTTGAAATTTCAACAGCAGTGATGTTGTATTTATGGGTAGGGTTTTTTAGACTTAGTCCGAATCTTCTTTCTGTCCCAGATTTACTACTAGCTAGTAAAGTAGGGTGGGTTTTAAAGAGTGTGATGAGAAGCAATTGAATCCAGACAATGCTCGTGGGGGGACATCAGTTTCTTCAAGGTTTCAGACATGCCGTAGTGGCGAGTGCAAAAAAGCACGAAACCTATATGCATGACTTCTTGTCAGTTGCCTACGATCAACTGATTTTAATTTAAAATCTCGCCTATCTTATGCAGATCAGATAGTAGACACTGAGTATTAACAAATCAAAGTGAATTCTTTATATGCTTTAAATTAACGAAATTTTCTATGCTCCAACGCTTGAACTATGCAATAAGACAGTATATGAGGTGCGTCAGGATTGGTGAGATTTAATGCATAAACTCATCTTCTGTCTAAACTGTATTTTTGACTGTTAGACGTATACCAAAGCCTTAGAAAACGGAATGTCTGGAGCTATTAGTTAACATTCTAAAATCATAATTTTCTTCTCACTTCTGTAATTTTTTCACCTACATGCTCAACTACTTATTGTTTGGTTAGTAGCATATTAACTAGTAAAAATATTACAGCGAAATGCATTAAATGAATGTATTGCAAAAAGCGTATTTTAGAAATTTTGTATGTATAAAACTCTATTAGAGTATGATAATAGTGATATTAAAGCATCCGCCTACTGGAAAACGTGATTTCTTATTTCCCCTTGAATGAATTCCTCTTAAACTATAAAACTCAAGTTTCGAAGTCGTATGATTATAATCGATATGATCATGAACAATAAATTTTGTTCGAAACGTCATCCAGTAAATAATACTGTTTCACTGTGTGATACATCTAATAAACAAACTAATGTGGTATTGGTCACTTAGGCATAAAAAGCATCATGTTATTTTTAAGCTTACCCTTGTGCTTACAGAATACTACATATAAAAGATGTAATTTGGTCACAAATCTGAAATACTCGACATTGACATATAATACAGTGAACTGATGTTTAACACTTGAAAAGGATTAACAAGATCTAGGTTCTCGTGTCTACTGTCACCCGTCATCGGTGTATTTTCACGCCAAAGCGAAATGATGCGTCTACAGATATTGACTACCGCTGAGTTCAGAACGATTATGGATAAGTTATTGAACGACCACCGACATCCTGTCGGACTTTGATGAGTGTGTTAAATTGTCATTGGGCAAATGAATTTAAAAGGATTAATTACTGGCAAGTAAACTGGTTGCTTAACTCATGATTAATGAAGAAGTAAGATATTTTTTCATCCCATACTTTTGAGGAGTCAATGTTATACTGATATGCTCATCACGTTATCATCTCTCCGTAACTACATTTCATCATAGCTCAGCTACTAGAGTGACAAGTTAATAAGTAGTCCAGATGGCGTCGTGTCAAAATTCATATACATGAGCCAAATCTTCATTTCACCTTCAAACAACATCAAGTATACACTACTAAGCAGTCTACCGATCCAAAGCTATTCTAGGTAGTCTCATCGACAGTTTATTATTAGAATATGTGTGTGCCTCAAATTACAAACATAATAAAATTTCAGTAATAAAAATAGAAAATCTAAGTGAGCATGATGTACACGGAATTTTTGTTCCTAAAATAAGCCTACTTGTAGACAAATACATACTGGCCTATAGTTGAGAATATAAAAAGGAAACCTTATTAAATTCGGAAAATAACCAGCTAACCAAATTGTTTTGAAAACTATTCATTGTATAAGCTCTGCTTAAGTCCCTTAGTTTATTTTTTCCACATTTATTCCTAATACACCGGGAAGAGTTACCTTTGGTGGTGTTGCCACTTTTAAATTAGCTAGATATTTTTGTAGCATATATGTGTATTTATCACTTCAGCTACTCCCTCAGAGGCAGTTGTGCTGAGTGTACTACAAGAAGACAGCTTAGGCAACATAACACTGGATATCTCCCATCATGATCTGGTGGACAACATATAAAAACCATCTTAAGCTCAGTTTTGTCACATTTATTTGATAGTGGCCACTCAGTGGACAAAAGGAAAGCAATCATAGTAGTTGGTCGAATCCTATCGAATTTGTCCAACAGACTCCGTATTCGTCTACTGCATATAACTAAGGTGACTGGTATTCGTGCAGTCATTATCTGTCCCTTGGCAAATGAAGACCTAATCAATAGATGAGAGCACCGCCACCTATATACTTTTAATCTCCCTCTGAACAACTCTTCCTTGGTCTTCTTACATCTTGATTCATACCTCGTTTATTTACTTCCCTTACAACCTACCACTACTTATTCCGACTATTTATCTTATAAGCCTTAATCTGGTACGGCTATTCAAATATTTGTCTCTATAATAATACCACTTTCTATTATCTTTGTTGTCACAAATCGCTCCATGATGACATAACTACTCAAGGCAACCAGTCAGATATGCGATAACCATTACAACCTTATACACACTATTATTATTGTCCGCTCGGGTTCCGAGTAGAACTTAGGGCTTCAACAGCACACCTCCGTTTTGTTCTATCTTCTGAGGTCCTCTTTAGCTGGCCCTGCGATTGCCCATAGTTTCTGATTTCTTCCACGCCACCCTCGGATTGCAAAATCGTCGCTTCCCATTCGACGGCCTAGTAAACGATGTCACCTGAAGGTCTCTTCATCTACACCTCCATTTTCTTCTACAGATTGGTTGGTTCCTTTCCAGAGTTTCTTGTTGCTAATTCTTTCTGGTTGGCCATTTTATCTTCAGCATAGAACAAAGGCAGCTATTGATAAAAGTCCGCAACCTGCTGGAAATGTTTTCGTGACGCGCATGACAAGTTTCTGACTCAAACAGAAACACTGATTGGCTTAACATTTGTGTTGAAAACCCGAACTTTGTTCTTTATACTGGCTGCAGACGATTTCCAAACTGATTTCAGAGTGACGAAGGTCTGCCTTTCCTTTCCGATCCTGGTTTTGACATCTTCATCCGTTCCGCCTATGGTTGGAACGATGCTTCCCAGATAAGTGAAGGAAGTGACCTCTTTCAAGTTTCTCTCGTTGATAGTTATTGGTGTTGGTTTTTGGCTGGTTATCTTCACCAAGTCCATCTTCTGTATGTTCATCTGAAGTCCTGTTTTTGTTTCTTCTTCTCCCAACTTCATTTCCGCCTATAAGTCTTCCTTATTGTGTGACATTAGACATAAATCATTCTCGAATTCCACATCTTTTAGAGTCTTTTTATCAGTCCAGTGTATTCCTGCCTCCTCGCTTCTCACAGTCTGACGCATGATCCAATCCACCACGATTAGGAATATTATCGGTGATATTAGACAGCCCTGTCTTATTCCTGTAATCACTTAAGACGCCTCGCTGAGTGAGTTTCCCGTTGTGGATCACCTGACACGTGGCATTGTCATATAGCGAACTGTTGAATGAGGTTGATAAAGACTTGGATACTGCACGCCGTAGTGTTGAGGCATTTTCCGAATTACGTCTCGGTCAACGATGTCTTTCGAAGTCCTTTTCAAAGTCGATGAAGTTGAGGTAGAGTTTTGACTGCTGTTCTATACCTTGTTCGATGACGATGCCTAGAGTTGCAATTTGATCAGCAAATAATTTGCCATTCCTGAATCCAGCTTGTTTCGGTGAGGAGTGGAGTTCTGCATTCAGCGCATCTTTTATTCTCTCCAGGATGACACGACTTAGTATTTTACTTGGCGTGTACAACAGCATTATTCCATGCCAGTTCTTGCAGAGGCCTGATTCGCCTTCCTTTGGCAGCTTCACAAGGTAGCCTTTCTTTCAATCGGCAGGTAGGCTCCTTTGCTTCCTTCCAAACTTTTGCAGTAATGGCGTGAGCACATCTACCACAGTTTCTGGGTCCGTTTTCAGTGCTTCGGGGGAATTCCATCTGGTGCTGCTGTCTTTTGTCTTTCCTGGCACTCTTCTTCACTTCCTTATTCAGTATGATGTACATTGAACTCAGCTTCTCTTTCTCTTGTCCATCTTCGTATGCGGTCATCTTCTGTTTCACCATCCTTCTCTCTTCTATAAGCTTCCAAGTGTCCATTCAGAGTTATTCCTTGTCTAACCTCTTCTTTCTTCCTAAAACGGTGCTACACGCTTCCTTGAACATCACCTCCAGGGAGTTGCAATGTTCTTCCACTCAGGATTCCTCGGTGATGCTATGTTGTGTCTCCCACTTTGCTGTGATAGTTGCAGTGAAGGTATCTTTTGTAGTTTGGTGTTTCAGTTTTCGACCTGCGGTCTATCTCCAGCTATTTTGAAGACTTTCAGCTTGACCTTGAAGGTTCCTTGAATTAGATGATGGTCTGAGCCCAAATCTGCTCCCCTTCTGGACTCTGTGTCCAGCAGACTGTGTTTCCATTTTCTCGACCAGCATTGAGATGAAGTCTATCTGGTTTTTGATTTGTCCATTTGGTGAAATCCATTTCGCCTTGTGGCCTTATACACTGATTCATATTGAAAATATACATCCATTAAATGCTCAGTAGTAGACATATATAAAAGGTTAGTGACCGATGGGTGTATAAGACTCATTCTCACAGGAGGTAAACATCTATGAATTCAAAAGGGGATGAAAAGGGTCACAGAGATACATTGCTGACGAGTGTCAGATATCACAAAACCTAAATTCAGGGATTCCTATCGATTGCCTCCAACCATCGTCACAGTGAGTCTCTTAGATTTAATGATCGCACTCATGAGTAGGCATTGGTTAAGTCCACTGGCTAGTTAGTGTTACATTGGTTATGTAACCTAGTTTGATAATGAAAGCTCATAAAGAAATTGTTGCATATCATGGAAATAAAGAAAAGATTGTTTATCCTGTTTTAAAATACATCACTTACCCAACAAGAACCACATGATGACTGATCACGTATTTCAGATATTGAAGGACAATGAGGCCAATGTTTTCTTGCATCAAATTCTTTCGGCAATTCATCAAGGCTAGGTGTGTAACCAGTGCATAATGTGGGCAGATATCCACCATTTGGATCTGGCAGTGCACCTAACATTCTACGAATATCTGATACACTTTTGAATCGAGTACTTGGTGCAGCTTTCCAGGTTGTATTAGCCTTATTGAAAATAAAATAAAATAGGATAGTATATAGAAATGTAGACAAGGGTATAATTTAATGCTTAATTTAATTGTGCGCACTTTACCTTCCTAGACAAACCGTCACTAAATTTCTTTAGCGCCTTTTTAAATCATATTGCTGAAATGAGGTTCATTGATTTGGTTCGCATATATTAACGCAAAATTATTCATAAATGTCAAACTAGCATTAGTCATCCACACTTAAGCTTAATTAACGATCAATTTTTCAAGAGGAAATGAATTGCGATTCAATCAACACATTTATGATTTTGATGTGTTGAGTATTTTCGAGGACCATGTCTTCCAAGCATAGATAAAGTAGTAGTCGAAAAGTGGACAGTATACTTATCTCTTGCCGCTTGTATATGTGTTGAGGCGCTTTATGAACCAAAAATACTATAAAGACTGGGATAAATAACACAAAGTTCAGTTTCCATTTGTTTCCACTAGTTTTCATTTTAACCTGGTTAATTGAAAAGATAACTTGAAGAATGGATTAAAGGTATGTTGCACAAAAGATATTGGCGTTAGACAGTTTAATTGTCAGTCTTCGTTCGGAATATAACCTCTGACTTATAACTTGGACCTACTGTTGCATTATTTTCTCACTCTGACATGAAATTATCTTTAGGTTATGGGATTGGAGGTGATCGTAGTAAGCCTTTAACATAAGCTTCTTCATAATTATTGGCATTCGTTAGCAAGACGTATCTGAAAACTAGGGGATCTAGTGTTTTAGTCACAGAGATTACCACTGAGCTATAGCTCGTCTCAGTTATCTGGTGAATACTAATCCTAACTCTGCTTTTTAAATCTCCTTTTGCCCATCTCATTTTAACTCATTCTTTTCCAGTGTTTCATGAATGTTGTTTTCGATTTCACTACTCACAAGGAATTTTAAGCCATTGATTGATTTAAGTATTTGGAAACTGCTTACATCAATACAGATGTAAATCGACTACCAATTACGAAGATTGTTACCATTCATCATTTGTGGAGAATTTAAATCAATTCCTTTTATGCTAAAACTTGCGCTGAAGATGATGTCCAGAAAGACGACTAAAGCTCCGCGATTAAACCAACCAGCACAGACAACGCAACTAATTGAAAATCGTCCACCTGAGCTACAAATCTTCTCTATTATTTCAAAAAGTGTTTGCTATCCAAATCCAAGTGATCTAAACATCAGACAACCGTTTAACTTATTTGAAGACGACCTCATCACGGTAGTACCCGGATAAACTCCACTCGGCGAACGAAATAAGATCGAACCAACCGAATTCTGGTTAGCTGGTTGAGCGAACTGGTAATACGCATATAACTGCACTCATCATTTGTAAATTACACAGTTCTAGAGGAAGATGTGCCAATATTAGTATGAAGCAGTTCAAATATTGCAGTATGACCGTGTAATTTTCAAATTACAAGCTTTATTTTCTCTTTATATGATCTCCTCTACTTCACCCTCGGACACACATCCAATTAGCCACTTCTTATTTGGGTTCAACCCGACTACTTGTCCCGCGTGTGTCAGTGCTCAACTATTCCCACAGCGTATATCCAATCTGTCTTCACTACCACTTACATAATTATTGGGAAATAGGTTGTTGGTTAGTCCACTGCTTCAAGAGTTCCTTGTCGCTCGATTATCCTATTTGGTTATCTATCTGTTCTTCATTGTCGAGCGAAGACAACTGTTGATACAAGTTGGCAGCAGCATCTTGGAAATGCTTTTGGTGACGTGCTCTAAATCTGAGAACCACAGAATCAGTGACTTGACATCAGTGTTGAAGATTCGGATCTTGTTTTTTTTTGTGATTACAGTTCAAGTTGGTAGAGAATTTCATATGGGGGTCAGTAGCTGGTATGATAATGGAGTGGAATAATGGCAGAACAATAAAGAATCTAATAAGAATAGCATAATTTATTGTGGAAAACCTAGAAACATGAATAATGTTTGAAGAGGTAAGATGACAGAGAGAATAACAGAGTGATAAATAAAGAAACAGCAAATTTTCATGGCAATGTAAGGTCCTTTCCGCACACATAAATTGCGTTTCAGTCGACGGACTGATGTTGCTTTAGAATATATCGTAACAATGTATTATTACTACTGTCTGTTCACCACCTGAAAAGCTGTGTTGGTAGTGTCGACATGAGCTGTAGCGCTGCAAGGTAGTCCTGCACATTCTAATAACAATATTTTCGAAGTATGTTCAGAAATTCTAAAGTACATACAGTGTAAGATGTCATATCCATATTGGTTTCCCTAAGAAAAAGTGATATAAGCTAGAGTCTTCAGATTCCAATGCCTTAGTCATGTAGACTTTTGTTTCAACTTTTGTTACCATTATCTTATAGTAATAATGATAATAATAATGAAACTTTCCAACTTACCTCATAGTTAATGAAGTGTATTAATTCCGATGAAAGAGGCTGATGCATATACTTGTGTCGATTAGCCTCAATTTCATAATTGAGAAATATTAAACAGAATAAAACTGAACAAAAGTAGTTGTGCGATGTCATAATCTCGTATAAAATGTGATTATAAACAATTTGGAATTTTCAAACACTTTTATACTAATAACTTTGTCACTTATTTTTATTTACAGTTATCATGTTTATACAAAAAATGAAACACAACTAATCTGATAACGCAAACTTCATACACACGCGAACACGCATGTGAAAACACACACTCATTCTTGAAATAATATGATAATCGATTTACACATTTACCAACTTTCTGTGTGCCATTCATTTGACTGTTTCGCTGACCTGATTAACATTTTGTCAGACTAAATAGTATGAGTGGCTGTAACCCTTACGATTCAAAAATTTCAATTATGACTAATGAATAGTATGGGTAATGCACCATGTGATACGCTATCGCATGTTTCAAACCGGATGTGGTGATAGAATCCGATACATACTGTCTTGATTAATTTACAACAAGCTTAGCTTATAAGATAACCAATTATGAAGTGATAATGGGTCAAGTAATTTCAAAACAGTTCCTATCATTGATTGATATTGGCTTGTAAAACATTGGAAACCATGTTATACGAGTTATTTGTCTGCTCACAAACATACAGGCTCGCAGAAGGTCGGCAGGAATCACAGAGGCCGTTGGTTATATCCTAACCTCGGGCTTGTATCAAAAATAATTGTTTTTTCCCTCGCCATGTTGTACTTTATATGATCACATTTTTCTTGAATAGGTTCAAGACATCTGTAATAAATCGTTTGACTAATGTATTTTAGTTCGAATTGTGTCCACAGAAGTGTACCAGTTAGGTCATTAGTACAGGCAGTAATATGAGGGATATGACACTGCTATCTGTTGACTATGGCAATCTATAGTATTCTTATTGCGTGTATAAAGTTACATCAGCAAGTCTCATTGCAAACTTTAAGAAATCAGTGACCCCTCTGACTATATTAACTGGTGACCATTTCACACATATCGATCACTTCCGTACTCAGCCTGTCCGGACATGATTACTTCAGTGTGGAGATCGTTAACCATGGAGGCTGGAATTCAGGACGGTCGCAGGAAACACATCACTGATAAGTACCAAAAAACATGTAATTTAGTTTGATAACATAATGGTAACTAGATAGTACCAAGCTGTCCAGTAATTTCTTTGAAAAAATCACTTCAAAGCTCTTACCAACTCTAAACAAGTTCTCCAACATGTTAGGTAAACACAATGATAAGTGCATGCTTGTTGTCAAATCTTATGGCAGTCTATTAGGAATGAAAAACAGATGGAAGAGCTACTGTAAATCAACGGAAGAATGCATACTCGCTCCAGCCTAGTTTCCAACAGGTACAATAGTCCATACTTACAATCCCATAAGGGAGTGACTGCAGGACTTTTAGTTTATAAGTAAAGCTCGTTACCAATCAATCTATGCGGTGGAATCGAATAGCCAAGGATCCCTAAATTCTTGGTAAGGAGTCCTGGCTGTCATAGACACTTCGTCAACCTCCCGTAGTTTCAGGGGGAGGGGTCAACAACCAGTACCAATTCTATATGACAACTGCTGACTACCATCATCGAACTGGTTGTTTTATCCTAATAATGTGTGACTCCATTATGGATAAGATTTTATTTTGATAAATCACACAGTGTTATACAGTAATATTAACAGTTAATATTACTGTATAACACTGTGATTTATCAAAATAAAATCTATCCATAAGGAGTTATACTCTACACAGTATTTACTTATATGGCTAATAATGTGTGCTTTCTTTCGAAATTTCCGAGTACTTCACATTCATCTTTGAAACATAAACCAAGAGCATATACTATGTCACTTGGCTATTGGTGGCTGGCAGTGAAATCCACGCATGTTTCTTCGTATTCTGGGCTCATCGCCTGATTGCACTTGCATCACCAGTGAGCGACTGCGTTGTTATTGAAGCCCAGATCAAACACCTATTATTACAAACGCCAAAGTGTTGTTCATTCGGTCAGTGGGGTGGGTCGAGTCTCAATCGGAACAGCATCACTGGCTGCGGATGAAGGTACATCCAGATGACGGGTTCAGGATAGGACGAAACGTGGATTCCAGTAATAGTCCCCTGTAACCAAGTAACATTATGTCAATCTCAAGGAGTTGTGGAAGCATTTTTGTTAGGAACTGGTATGTTAACAGATACCGAGCATTTATGTCCTATACAGTTAATCCATGAGGAATATAAATTTAACTTAAACAACTAAGAAATGCAGATACATTTATAAAAATAATTAAAAGCACTAGTTGATAATGTTCGTCAGGACTTGTCATATTTGCGCCAGCATTGTTATTATCCGCCTTTAATAATTTTTAGTCATCATTTACTTGACTATGCATGAAATGTGAATGCTAAAAGCGGTAATTGAAATAACATCTTTGTTGACATTTGATGGATTTCAAGGTAGCTTTTGCCGATGAGTGGTAATTAATTAATTAATTTCTAATTTTAATTAATCTGCTGGTTTCGAAATCAAGCACAACTAAGGAATACGTATACTGTCTCTCAATCGCGAGATAACACCCCTGCCGGAAAAAAATCTTAACAATCAAGTCCATTGAGCCCCCGCTCTACCGGCTATTAGGCGAGTCAAAGTTTGTCTGGTCCGAAGACTCGCAGAGAGTATTTGACCACATCAAACAGATGATGGATCACCAGAGAATGACGCTGCGACTACCGATACCGGGAGAGCCGTTCATAGTGTCTACCGACGCTAGCGATTACGGAATAGGTGCAGTACTCAGACAGGGTGACGGAGTCGTCGAGTACGCCAGCCGTGTTTTAACGCACACAGAACAGAAGTATTCAACAATCGAGAAGGAGTGTTTGGCGATTGTGTGGGCGCTAGACAAATGGAGACCCTATTTACTGGGTCAACGCTTCCACGTAGAGACTGATCATAAGCCGTTGCAGTGGCTGAGAACCGCCAAAGACCCACGTGGGAAGTTGTCACGATGGATGCTGCGCCTGCAAGAGTACGATTTCACGATCTCTCATGTTCCAGGAGAAGAGAATGTGTTACCGGATATTTTATCTAGAACAGAAGAGGTAGAGTTACCGGAAATAGCATATGGTGTAAATGCCTTAGAGCAGGACCCAGCAAGACTTGTCCAGATTCAAAGATCAGACGACACCTTGAAAACTGTCATACAAGTGATAACTAACAAAAAAAGGTGAATCGGCCCACAGCGAACCGTGAGCTAAATCTCCTACTCAAACAAAAAGACCGGCTAAGCTTGAATGCCTGCGGAATGTTGACGTGGCGGGAGGATGACGGAAGCCGCTTAGCAGTAATACCTCAGTGTCTGCGCCAAGAGATGATACAGGAATGCCACCAACTAGCTCACACAGGTGTTGCCAGAACGAACGATCTCCTGCGAAAAAGCATGTACTGGCCAGGTATGAGAGAAGACGTCGAGAAGTACGTAACAGCGTGTGCGCAATGTCAGCTGATGAAAGGTGATCAGTACATACGACCGTCACCGCAGTCAATCCCAGTGACAGCAGTAGGCGACCTGTGGTCAGTAGATGTAATGGGACCTTTTCCACAAACGTCCAATGGCAATCAATATCTTCTGGTCATGACAGAACATGCCACACGATGGCTAGACGCAGTCGCGATCCCTGATCAACGCGCAAAAACGGTCACAGAAGCAGTGGTGCGACATATCGTTGCAAATCACGGTGTGCCAAAAGCGATATTGACAGACCAAGGTCCGTGTTTTGAAAGCGAAGAGTTTAAAGTCCGGCTGCAAGAGTTAGGTATCAAGAAAATTAGAACAACGCCATATCATCCACAAACAAACGGACTGACGGAGAGAAATAACCGCACCCTGAAAGAGTGGCTGGCCACAAAGGGCGGTAACTGGGAGACAGAGCTTCCACTGATTCTGCTAGCACATCGTGCGTCCGCGCAAGAAACGACGAAGAAAGCACCGTTTCAGTTGATGTATGGGAGGAAACCACGACTACCGATACATAACAAGACCTGGCCCCTCCATCAGCATTGGAGTATGACGAGATGGCGGACGGAGCGGAAAGAAGCCATCAACAACGTAAAACGAAAGCAGAAAGTGGACGCTGTGAAAGCCGAACTGAGGGTAAAGGAGAAGTACCCCGCATTCGAGATCGGAGATCAAGTCAAATGTAGAGATAGGCGAAACACCGGCGGATACGCGCCAGGGTCGCGGAAACTGCTACCAAAGTGGGAAGGACCATACACGGTCACCGCGAGACGGGGGCACGTATATACCATCAAAAATGCAAAGAGAGAGAAGCGGGTGAACATCAGCGAGCTCCAGAAATGGATAGAGCGAGACAAGCCAACGATGACGCCAGCACCAAGAAGATCAAGCCGACTTCAGTCCAAACTATTTGGCGGGGGGACGAGTGTGGTGAGAGCTGTCTACTAGCCAAATTGGTTGACAGTAATTGAGGTCAAAGGTCAAGATGGACAGGCGGATACAGTTAACATATAGATGAACTGACACAGCCACAAGAGATGCAAGGTTAACTTTGTGTGAGAAACAACCAATCAACAGACTGTATTTTCTACTAACATTAACCTACAATAATGTACATAAAAATCTATAAATACGTGTTGATTTTCCGTAATAAACGTTCTGTTGCCTGGCCCTTGTCTTCTGTTGTTACAATATGAATTGATTGGCTGCTTAAATACCTTCCTAATCACTCACACTATCCACTAGCGCGATTGAGAGGTAAATTAGTATCAGTCCAGTTTAGTCTCATCAATCACGATAAGTGATTAGCTGTATCAGTCAATGTACAAGTAGTCCAACTAATTTAAACAGTCAGAATATGTATTTTGATGACAGAGATTCAGTTATATTGATAAATTCAATGACTGGCTGATAAGTAACAGATACCTTATTATTATCTCCATGAAAATCTCTCTGGGGACTGGTATCGTTTAGGGAATCATTAGAAATTATTGGACACTAAACAATTGTTTCATCTTAGTTTGGAAGTCTCCAGAAGTAAAGACTATGAAGGATCGTACCCGGGACCTTAGGGCTACTAGGGTAACCTATGGATCATTCAGCCACTGGGTTGGGACTCTATGATCTATGGGTTCCAATTACTTTTGACTTGAAAAATTCCATCCTATAGCCAATAGTGAGCGGGATTTATCTCGATTTTGACTGATTTCAGTATGGATTTTGTTACAAACTAATATTAATGGCACTATATTGCAAATT